AATGTTCACATTACCACATTTCCTAGTATAATTCGTACACATTGCGCGGTGAATGTGCAAGTATGATGGAAAAGTCTGCTCCTCTAAAAATTATGAGAATTACAATTAAAAATAATTTACCTATAACAAAAGTTGAAAATAATAAGGGAAATTATATATACGGCAAGTTTAAGGTGTGTTCATTATGAGTTCTTTGAAAAAGTAATTATATTATTGTTTGTAATAAAAAAAATCTTTAATTTCGGCGCTACCGATTCGCAGGCGCGCCTCTTGTAGGCACATTTCTTGTAGAAACATGAAATAGGCATTCAATATTCTGATGAATTTAAATGTGGGCAGAAACCCATTCGTCGAAATAATTTTTTTCTATATTGGTATGACTATCAGATTATCTGTGCCAAATGTCACATTAAAACAATCATTACTGTTCAGTATACGATTGTCTTTCTGAAATACATAAAGTGCTTTCGGCGATTTTACGGTGAGTGAAATTATTCAACAAAGCAGTTCCATTAAATTTTGTATGTGGAATCAAATTTCTGGTGCCGAAACATTTTGGATGCTGGAAAATGCCTTCGATGATAATTGTTTGTAGCAAGTAACTGTTTTTGACTGGTACAAATTATTCAAAAAGGATCGGAGAACGCCTTGACGACGAACCATGTCTAAGACGGCTATCAACATCAATCGATGATCAGCAAGTCAATAAAATAAAGGAATTGGTGCTTGCGAATCGATGATTAACAGTCAGAGATCTTACTAGCACCGTTGAAATATCGGATCAGTGAAACTGAAAGATCATTTGTTCCTAAGAAAAGTGAAAGCACGATTGGTTCCAAAGTCACTAATTTTTTTTTTTCGAAAAGCAGCGTTATGTTAATGTATTATTACTAGCGATGAGTCACGAATCTATATTTACGCACCGGAAACAGACGATCAATCGGCCGAATATCACGAAGTCAAAAAACCACGACAAAGTAGATAAAAAATTATGTTATTCGATAATCGAGGTGTAATGCCCTACTAATTCCTTGCGACTCATTGAGTGTTATGCGTCGTTTGTGCAAAGCTTTTCGTAAAAAGAGGCCGGAATTATGGACGGAAAACTCTTGGCTTTTGCATCACGACAATGCACCATGGCATAATGCATTTTACTTTGTGAGTTGAAGACATTAAACGTTAACCGTCACGCGTATTGAATGCTATTCCGGAAATTAACTTTAACAACTGTTTCGAGGATTGGAAAAAACCTTGGTACAAGTGTATTGGGGCCAAGGGGCATTACATAGATTTTGAAGAATAAATTCAGAATTTTAAAATTTGAAGAGTTAATACTTTCATTGCAAACACAATTATTATTAGTAGGCTTCCTTTATTAGTTGTTACTTTTGTTACACTTTTCGCCCTGATCATGAAAAATTAAATTCGATTCCCGATTCGTAAAAAAATGTGACAAGTATGTTAAACATCTGTTCGCGATCCAACGCGAAAGAATTATTCTCGTAGATGGCTAGTGTCAAAATTTTATTTGAATCTGATTAGTAGTAATGGCTTTGTTTCACCGCTTGTGGACACGCGCTCCCACGTATATGCGGATTTTATAAAAACAGAGAAAGAACAATATCGGTCGGTCGGTTATTTTATTCTTGGTTTTGTAAGGACTCAAAAAGTCAAAAATTTGTTGTTGGTCACACCTGACAGAAATTGACGATCTTCTTTTGACTGAACGTGATTGGATATACGCGATATAGTTGAGAAATCTTAAAAGAATGAAGCGAAACACAGGACCGGATTATTTGGACTATTCGAAGTCGAATTGCAAACAATAAAACGGACGAATTATACAAAGAAAAGCAACCCATTGAGGCTAAGGACTGCTGCCCAGTCCACTTAGCCACATGCGGCTTTTTTTTGCCTTGAGTTGCTGTATTCAAAATTCAGTTTGGTCCGGATAATCTATATTCCATATTATACTCCTGCGCAATATGTTAAAAATCAACAATCGAATTTATTTCAATGCCCACCGGTGTATATTCGAGCGGTTTAAAATTGCTTATCCAAACGTAAAGTCAAATCATTGTGCGACAGCAGAACAATTTTGTCAAATTGCATTTATGTAAATTACAAATATTGGTAATTGTATAAAGACAGACAAGTAGTTCGACAATAGCGCAAGTTTCAAGTGTGACTCATTGATATACAATATGTACGTATACATATGTATAAAATATATGTATAGCGTTAATTTTTTTCGTTTCACTTTCTTTTCTATTATCAGCAAAATTATCAAAAATTGCCCAAATTTATCGACTGAGTATACAAATATACCTAACACCACCACAATTACTTTGCATATATGTGTGTTAGCTGAATGGATAAAAATGATACCATAAAACAAAAGTCAAATTAGACGAGCTTAACATATTGACTACACTATCTATAAAAATGTATGTATGTATGTATATACAGTGGTACCTCGACATACGAGTTTAATTCGTTAAGCAACATTGCTCGTATCTTGAATTACTCGTATCTCGAAGCAAATTTCCATACAAAACAATTGAACTACCATTAATCCGTTCCAACCTTCAAAATGTCACCCCAATTATTATTGTTACGTGATTTTGAATAATAAAAACGTGTTTATAAATATCAAATCTTTATTACACAAAAAACGGAAGTAAAGAAATAAATTAGATATCCTTACTGGTCTTTGTCTTTTTCGTTAAATTTTTCTCGCTTTCACCTGTAGGCCGTTTAGAAAAAAACATGTCCAAGGAGGTTTGTTTCTTCCCCCCTCTCAGAATGTTCCGGAAATGAGTTAGACAAGTGCCATTAAAAAGGTCAGATGCACGACCTGTTACAACTTTTTCTGGGTGCTTTTTTTCCACGAACTGTGAAACTCTCACTCACATTGCTATGACACCCACATTGCTATGATCTCCTTTATCTCACTTGTAGAAATAACCTCCTCCTCTGACTCCTCAAAACCAATTTCTTGCATTTCCTCAGTATGCTGCTGTGACTGTAACTCTTGTATCTCCTCAGTCGTCAGTTTCTGGGTGTTCTCCTCGATGAGCTCGTTCACGTCTCTCTCTTCCACCTCTAGACCCATGGATTTCCCCAGAGATACAATCTCCTCCTCTACTGAAGCACCGGGTTCCAATTCTTCACTTCTTCGTCGGCTCGTATCTCGTATGGCGAGGTACCACTGCATATACATATGAACAATTGCAAACAATTGTGTCTAATCGGTCGCAGAACTCGCTGATAAGAAATCGATAATGAGATATCAGTGTGGGAATAACTTGAACACCTGTTGGCTTGTTTTTAGGGGAAAATTAAAGAATTTTTAGAGTTCATATTTCCGATAGCGATTGTTAAAAAAAAAAAAATTGTTGGCATGACTGAATCACTTTCTCGATTGCTTCGGTGATCCACGTTTCATCTAAGCACCTGCCGCGTGACGTATAATTTTACGACAGTTATCACCAATTGTCTGACTTTTGACGTGTGTTCATAAAAAAAGTTCCTTTACGTTATCTTTGTTTTGTGGCAGCATAAAATATTACACATAATCTGTTGACAACTGTTATAAATAAATATCACAATATTTGATTTTGTAAAACATCACTGAAAAACTTATAAAAATTTTGCGAAAGAATTGTCATTAATTATGTGCAATACCAGATGTTTAGTTTAGAGTTGCTAGGTTCCATATATTGGGACAAAAAAAGCACCCGAAATTGTAATTAGTAGTGTGTTGCGATTTTTACAATGGATAAAAATATCGAAAAGAATTTGAATTTTGTGTTCGGAATCGTTGCGAATGTTGGAAAAATCGTATAGTATCAGGTCAATCACTTATGCCTTTCCTTTATTTTAAAGGTAACCGTATACTTCAAAGTAATTATAGTCAGATTAGATAACACTATATTTAGTAAGTTCCAGGGCGGAGACGAACATACACACATTAAACGGAATTTATTGGTCAGCTCGAAATTATAATGAAAAGAAACAGATTAATGGCAAGGAAAATATTATGTTCAAAAGATTTAGATAATGTTATTTTTGGCCCACTAACACCGACACTCGACGAATGCTTTATGCCTCTACAAAAAATAAAAAAATAAAGGTGATTTTATCAATTTACTCTGTATCATAGAAACATATGGCAGTTAAAAATTTTCAAGTGGTTAATTAAACAAAGCTTTAAGAAATTCTTCCACAAATTATTTGATTTTTCGGTGTTTGATTTCAACTTAAAAGTTAAGCTAATAAGTTTGTAAGTTATAATTTAAAATTCATATTACCGAAGAAACTTAGATATCTAAAAACATAGTTACAAACATATGTATGGTATGACATGTTTGACTACCTAACTTATAATTGTAAAGCGCTAAATTGTTTTTGCTGTTAGTTAAAATAGAAACAGCACATTTAATACAAATTCAATAGAATCCCGATAAGTTAACTGACGATGTTTGATAACGATAACGACGAATAAGTTATCGATTATGTTATGTTGATAATTCGAAAAGTTAATTATGGTTGGGATTTTTTTGTTAACTTCTTCGAGATTCTACTGAATTTATTTGTTATAAAACTTATCTAATCCGTTGACGACGTAACGGCCTCAAATCGACTTGTATAAATTTAAAATGTTCAAGTAGCTGCGTTTGGTATGAAGTTGCTAAGCGGTCAAATATATACGAGTGTTTTTTAATTTTTTATGATCTTGCGGTTATAAAGTATGTATATTAAATTAGCTAAAACCAATCTAACAACATTTCTTGTTTAATAAACTTACAATAACAAAAATATGTACATACATACATACACATACTGTATATACATACTACATTGGTAGAGTTCAAATTTGTATGTACATATGCATACATACATAATTGTATTCAGCACATTTGTATTATCGCAGACATTGTCACAATTTGTAATTAATGATATACATTTTATTTATTTTTGGCTTAAATCTTTTGCAGATCCGTATCAGCTATTAAATGCCGCATCCCATCGATTGGTTGCGCAGGGTTCGGGACAAATTCAGTTATGGCAATTCCTACTTGAACTGCTCGCCGATTCGTCTAATGCCAGTTGCATAACATGGGAGGGCACCAATGGTGAATTCAAACTCATCGACCCCGATGAAGTTGCTAAGCGTTGGGGCGAACGAAAGGCCAAACCAAATATGAATTACGACAAACTCAGCAGAGCTTTAAGGTAAGCAAGAGCGAGCGAGTAAACAATCGAGCATTAATGCCGGCATTGCGGTGCGCACACGCTCAGTAGTAAAACAAAACTCGAAACAAAATCAAAGAAAGCAACAGAAAATACAGACTTTGTGTGCGAAGTTAACTGAGGAGTGGTATAAGTGTGGATGTATAATATATGAGTTTAAGTATGAATGAATAGGGAGGTGTTACAGCATATCGCATGCGAGTTTTCTGAACTTTTTATAAGCGTGTATAAGCATTTACAGTACTGTTAAAAGTTTTAGCATTACATACATATAACTGATATATAGTTGATTTAGAAGATAATTATGGTTTTAATGTAAGCTTACATACATTTGCTTGAGCTGTTTTGATAGGTCTTAGGTAGGGTGGAAGGTTTATAAAACTGGAATCGAATATCGTAACATAACAATTTGCCTACTTTAAATTTTAACAGTTCATTTGACTTTCCCTTGTACGTATGAAGCGTATTGTGGGATTTACGGCAGACCTAATGTGACCGCGTAAAAAAGTGATTCCTATATTTTTTTTTTAGAAAACTGGTGCATTAAATATCTTAGAATTGAGCGGCTACACTTTAGAAGTTTGTAAGTCCAAAAATACTTGAAAAACTCGTTCAAAATTTTAATAGGTTATTTTTGAAGGTGTCGACTATCAAAATATGCGAAAAATAAAAGAAATATTTGTTTCGCAATTTCACCCGTACCCCTTAAGCATATTTAATTTCCACTCCCCCCTATGTAATATTAAGCCCCATATTTGTTGTTAATTTATGTTCTAAAAATTTGTTTTATTAATTTTACAGATATTACTACGATAAAAACATAATGACAAAAGTCCACGGGAAACGTTATGCCTACAAATTTGACTTTCACGGCCTGATGGCGGCATGCCAAGCGCAGGCACAGGGTTGTGATCCCACAACAAGTATGTTGAGTTCCTACAAGCATCATCATCACCACAGCCATGCCATGGGTTTGCATCATCATCATTATCACAACCTCCAAACAGATCTCACCTCACCATCGTCGTCGTCGAGTCTTGGTTTTCCATCACCTTCTCCCACGTCTATCCCATCGCCTATTGGTATGAGCAACTCACCCAACATTGCATTAACAAATCAGCACCAACTTAATGCAACAAGTACAAATTTATTACAACCACAGCAATCAACTTTAACCACAACAACATTACCTACCGCTTTAACGGGCGTTGAGACGACGGTTGTGCATAGCAGTACCACAAGTAGTGGCAACAATAACAATAGTACACCCGTTTTTACACGCCCACCGCCATATTGGTCATATACGCCGGGCTCTTATGACTCACGTCCACCGCCTAATACGTTTAATTAACTCTAGAATGATGTGTAATTCAAGGTACTTAACACTTGACTTAGGACATATTTGTAATGTATTTGAGTGGTCCACTGGTTTTATTATAACGAAAATATGCCACCCGCAGCGTAGGTTGTGCGTACCTTTTTCCGTTTATGGAAGGAGGCATGTGCTTGTATTTAGAGTTGTTAATATGTATGTATGTAAGTTTGCATTGTAGCCGGGTGTTATGAGCTATAGTAGCCCATCGAGAGATTATTTAAATACATGTAAGTTTCTAAGTAGTACAGAGTAACCTCTGGGTCTTAGATATAGTTTCATTGCTTAATATAAATTTGTAATTGTAGGCATATTTGCATGTGTGCATTAGTGCTAATTGCAATATTATAATATTTATTTTATAAGGTGGTTCAAAATGATCTTTCCTATGAATATTGCTATTCATATGTACATACTTAACTCCATACGTAGCTATATGTACTATGTATGTCCACAGATGTAAAATTAAGGCTTTGGATATAATATATGTATATGTACTTATAGTTTAAAGAAATTTGTAGTATAATTGGCTATTGCAATAATTAATTTAATTAACCTTCTTCATCTTATTGAAGTTGAACTAAAACCATAACGGCAGTGCATTTGGAAGAATTCCATAATCTTATATTTAGGTATAAAGTCGATTTCCTTGTATATTCATATTTTGTTACCGATATTGATTTGCTTCAAATTTTTAACTTGCAATAATTAATTTAATTTATTTAGCTGTGATTCTACGATTTTATTTACGAAAGAAAGTTAAAAATGTCAAAAAATATTTAAACTTTTAGTTTTGAATTGAATTATGCTAAGCAAAAAGTGCCAAAATTTGGTCGTGACAGTTAAGTAGATTTTAATGTATTTAAAAAAATTATAATTTGTAAAGGATTATATGTACATACATACATGTACATATGTACGTATGTATATATAAGTATAAATGTTTAAATTTTGTTTCATTTGATTTCATTTGCGTGCTTCTCAAAATTAACATAAGGTTTAAATTTGCCGCCTTTTCAATTGATCTTCACAGTTGCCGAAGTTAAAACACTATTCAGACCATATTTTGTACGAAATTTTCGAACTGCCGTCGCTAAGCTTTCATTATTTTTGAAATATTGTGCAATAATGAAGACACTATCGTGCAACTCTCCATTTTTACTAAACTTAAACTGTCAGCAGCCGATTCGCTTTTTTTAGGGTTTTCAACACTACATAAATGACGGCAAATTCAAATCTTGTCTTAATTTTGGGACAACCTGTATTTAATTCTATTCTTGCATTCGTTTTTTTCGAATGTATATAAATATTGTGACAAAAAAGTACTCGGAAATTGTAAATAAAACGCAAAATTTTTAGTTATTCATCAATTTTTATTTTTTGCCTTTAAAGCAATACCCACCAGATGTGATGTACATATGTACTTATAATATGTCAACGATTTTTCCAATCCTCGAAAACTCTTCATAAGCACTTTTTGAAATGCCCTTCAACTTCTTTAGCAAATTTTGTTTGTCTTTTCGATCGGCTGGAAACGGGTTCAACGGAGCGGCAATTTCAAGTTTGGTGAACAAGAAAAAATCGCACGGAGCCAAATCTGGTGAATACGGTGGTTAATCGATGGCATTCATTGAATTTTGGCTTTAAATTCGGTCACAATTTTTCGGGTGCTTTTTTGTCCAAATGTATATGTTAATACCTATGGATCTAGTAAAAAGAATATGTAGACTGGCGCTATCCTAATGGAACACGATTTTTTCACTATTGAGGATATAAAAATTTGACCGTAGGTGAGCAGCACATATGGAAATGGATGATTACCTGCCAAATTCACGAAATACATAGAAAAATCTTCCGGACGGTCGAACCCCTTTTAGAAACCCTTTTGTTTCAGAGCCACTCTTCTCCAGTAATCATTCGCTTCAGAAATGGAAAGATTTTATTGAGTTTTCGAAAGGGTTTGTTTGCGATACATCGAGCATCTATTTATATCCAGCCTTATTAAAATAGTTCAAAATAATGTTTAAATGACAATCAGGCTCCACGATTTGGATTATTTTATCGATATTCTCGACAGTTGTTCTTGCAGTGCGCGGAACATCTTTGATATCAAAATAACTTGAGCGGAATCGACTATGCTAATACAGCACGTGATTGGTATAGTATCAGGAACAATAAATTTTATTCGACGAAATACTCTAAAATCTTGCACATTTTATCTTTTCTAGTGTCCGTCTTTGACTCCTGCTCGAACAATACTGAGTGAAACAATCATAAAATTATGGAACGAAATATTATCTTTCTAACCCTTTATTCTCGCTTACTCGTACAATGTGAGATCCAGATAACTAAAGCTTCTATAGGAAAAATTATGGATTTCTTTTTACTAGAGATTACACTTGTCGACGTTTTTTAAATACTATTACGTTAAAAATTTAGTTTTTTTTTAATGTTGACATAAAAGAAATACAATTAAGTTACAATTACACAAAAATTAATATAATTTATTGTTAAGAAAACACTTTTTTATTATGTATTGAAAATGTGTTACATCGGAAATCAAATTTTAAAATATATGCTAAATAATATGTCCAAAATGCTGAAAATGTCAAACTTTATTTTTCAACACTACTCTGCAAGCAACTAACGGTTAAATAACAAGTTATTTACCCGAAAGCGATACCAGAGATGTCTGAAAAAAGTTTTTGGCCGCTATAATCGAAGAAAACTATATTGAATAATAAAATCGAATTTTAAGAAAATACAATTTTTTCTATTTTAGCCGACGAACTGTTCAACCCACTTGTTATTAAGTGTCCGTAGTTTCGATTTGTTGTGTAATTAATGAAAACAAGAAAAAACGTTAACTTTGGCTGCAATGAAGTTAATATACCATTCACATGTGCATTTCTTTTAGTAACGACATGCTTAAGTAAATCTAACGACTTAAACGGCCAGTGGTTTTCTTCCAAACCAAACATTTAACTAGTCAAATAAAAAATTATCCAATATAAAAAAAAAAATTATATAGAATATTAATTAGTTCCGTTACACCTACATACTATATTACATTGCGGAGAAAATTGGTTCGCTATTTAATGAGAAAAGTAATTATTGTAAAATGTGGATTATTTAGCCAAAGTTGCCCATACTTGTATATGAGCTTGATTTTGATTGGGCAGTTGGTATGCCAGTTCGACATTAACAATTGAAGATTAAAGCGATATCTTGGGCAATAATCCATGCAAAATTTCATGAACATTTCTTGTCACATAAGAACTTAATTTAGATTTTTCAATTTGTATGGCTGGTTTTGTTATCCGACCTGCGAAATTTCTTCAACTGTTGTAGCGTTGCCTTAGATAATAAACCTCGACGAATTTGCAGAATATACAATATCTCCTTAACTGGAAAAGTCTCCAATACAAGCATTTAACTACGACTTCAGTTTGTATGGAAGCTATATACTATAGTAATCCGATGTGAACAATTTCTTCGGAGGTTACATTATTTCTATGAACCAAATTTCTCATAATTTCGTGCAGATATATCGTCAAATGAGAAAGTTTCCCATGCAAGCATTTTGATCATTCAGTTTGTATAGAAGCTATATCCTTTAGTAATCTGATCTGAATAATTTTTTCGGAGATTATATTATTACCTTAAGCAGTAATCCTTGTCAAATTTCATGAAGATACCACCTTAAATGCGAAAGTTTTCCATACAAGCCCTTGATACCGATCGTGCAGTTTGCATGGCAGCTATATGTTATAAGGGTCCAATATCGGCAGTTCCGACACATGAGCAGCTTCTTAAATAGAAAATGATCGTTTCAAAACGATATCTCAAAAACTGAGGGACTAGTTCGTATATATAGAGGCAAACGGACAGACAGACAGACAGACAGACGGTCATGGCTAAATCGACTCAGCTCAACATTCTGATCATTTAAATATATACTTTATAGGGTCTCCGAAGCTTCCTTCTGGGTGTTACAAGCTTCCCATCAAATAGGTTGCCATACGGAGAATTGTAAATGGAGAAATTTAGTAATAGTGCTGGGACTGATATGTATGCGGAACTTATTTTCTATAAAGAGTATTACAAAATTTTGCACGATTAATGCCTTTGAGGTGTGCCACCTTATAGCTAAAAATTACCCAAAGCGAACCAAACCTGTTCACGCTCCTAGGTACTGAATATGTGGACCCAGTGCTTGTAATCAACTTTTTACCGAAAGTATCGGTCAATATGTGAGATATAAAATTGAAATTCGGAGTGGAATCGGGTCAATACTTCCCTGAGCCACCATATACCTAATATACAGATTTTCGAACCTACGTGTGACTTTATACCGCATATATTGACCAATATGTCAGTTATTTTAATGAAAGTGAGAGAGCGTGTTTTTCTTATAACAGTTAATTTTTTTGCTTTTTTTGAAACCTCTTTACTTGCTTTTAATTTATATTAATAAACTTGAAATTACATTTTTTTTTCAACGCGTTCTTTAGGATTGAAATTATAATCCTTTTAATTCGATTTTGGATTAGAAATTTTAAACCTATTTTTAATCAACATTTTTGGGATTACAAATAAAAATAAATTAATTTAAATGTTAATTCAATGCTGAATAGAAATTATGCGGTTTGAACCAAATAATACTTCCAGAACACCCTTTCCTTTTATTGATATTTAATTTTATTCAAAACAATATGTACATATATATATCAGTATGTATGTTTACAAATAGGTAATTGATAATCATCAGAGAAACATAATTTACTAGAGCCAATTTAACTTATACAGCATATAAAATAGACAAAACTATGAATGTAAGGCTATAACATAGAAAGGCAATACGATCGATGGCTGTGGCCAGTAAAATCCACTCAAATTGAATGAAACGATTAGCAGAGGAGGATGTAGATGCATGCATGGCCGCTGCATCGGTTATGCCGTCAGGATTCTCATATTGATGCTCGACCAACTCTTTTGTGCCGTTATTCATGCTAACGGCGTGCGGTTCCGCTTCCAATGTGAAGTTTTCTAGCAGAAGAATTTTGCTCAGCGGTCCATTAAGTATGGTCTTGACAAAGTCAGGTAAGTGCCGTTTATGTTTCGCCGTTGAGAGGTACAATACACACACGGCAATTATCGTTGAGATACTGAGCAACAACAAGCTACAGCTGTAAAACAATACTGAAAGTAAGAAAAAGAGAGTATATAATATATCAAAACTTTCAATTCAAATCTTAAGAAATAGGTTGTTGTAACCTGATTTCATTAATTTTTGACTAAAACACATACATTGACCAATAATACTAAATAAAGTTAACCGGATGCTCGAACGCGCTTATGGGACAGGGAAAGATCTGGATGTGTTTCATTTACCTATGCGTTAAACTACCATAAGTATGCTTGAGAAAATATTTCAATTAAATTTTAGTAACATTGCGCTCAT